ATAATATACAAAATGTTTTTGAATGTGTATAATGTCAAATTCAGAAGGCCCTTCTTCAGGATTGAAACAGTTGTTTTGGAGTATGAAAAAGCTATTCTGAACTTGAAACAGGCTGTCATTTTAGAATCACTTCATGGTAGAAATAACTCTGTTTCAAAGTCAAAATGTTTCAAATTATCAGAGTAATCTGTTTCAAATGTGGAATAGCTGTTTTGCTTCAAATCACTTTTAGTTTGATATGGATGCCAGGGGGGGGGGTATATGAAGATAGTTCAGACTTTTGCAAACCTCTATTCACCCTGACAGTTAGAACAATTAACCAATGGAACAACCTGCCTCCAGAAGTGGTGAATGCTCTAACACTGGAAGTTTTTAAGAAGAGATTGGACAGCTGTTTGTCTGAAATGGTGTAGGGTTCCTGCCTGGGCAGGGGGTTGGACTCGATGACCTCCAAGGTCCCTTCCAACTTTATTATTATTATTATTATTATTATTATTATTATTATTATTATTATTATTATTATTATTATTATTATTATTATTATTATTATTATTATTATTATTATTTATTATTATTATTATTATTATTATTATTATTATTATTATTATTATTAATTTTGTTTGTTTGTTTGCTATCTTTATTATTTTACAAGTAACTCAAGGTGGCGAATATATCCAACACCCTATTTTCCCCCTATTTTCCCACAACAACACCCTGTGAGGTGGGTTGGGCTTACTGGCCCAAGGTCAACCAGCTGGCTTTCATGGCTAAGGTGGCACTAGAACTCACATTCTCGTGCTTCCTAGCCTGGTGCCTTAACCACTAGACCATATTGGTGCTAATACTCAAAAGAAAGCATTACAAGGGGCAGATTCTGAGATAGATATCATGCTTTGAAGGTCAACACAGCTCCATCACATCACATCACATAGTTTGCACATCACATAGAGCCAAAATTTACCAAGCCAACATTTGTTCAATGACAGGCAATTGGCAGAATCCATAAGACAATTTAAAAGAAAATGAAACAGTTTCAAAGTAGCCAAGTGGCTCTCTGTATAATACGTCTAAACATCCATTTCCAAAATCTTATCTTTTATATTACAAATCATTCATCCAAGAGATATTCTAGATCAGGGGTGTCAAACTGCTGGCCCATGGGCTGGATGTGTCACATGGAAGCTGCGCCCACCCCAGCTCCAGCAAGGGGAAAAAAGTCATGATACGTTGCGACACATCACAAGGCGAGTTTGACACCCCTGTTCTAGATGCCTTTTCTGAATTTCAATCACATTTATTTAGGGATGCATCAAGGAAAACAAAACACAAACACATAAGCCAGGGAAATTATTATACCCAACTGCTCAATTAAAAATGATAATTCTCCCATTTTGAATAGTAAAATCTATAGTTGATTCATATATTAGAGTAAACCCCAATGCAGTTTAATTTTAGTCAACTTCACCCAACTTTATGTCCTCCACATAATGACAATTTATGGCAATTTCTGACAGTGATAGACATGATAGTGCACCAGCTCTGGTGAAGGCTCATAAATAGGTGGAAATTGCATTTGGTGCTTATTTAAGTAAATAAATATACAATAAATTCATTTTGCTTCAAATGGTCAAAAGACATAACCAATGAAACCCACATGAGTCAAGACAAAATTATTTGCACTGCAGCCCAGAGCTATTTTTTCTAACCTGGTGTCATCTAGATATGGTAGAATCCCTGGATTTCTTCAGGCTTGGGAAGTCTAGTTGTGGCAGTCCCACCCTATTTGGACAATATTAGCCTAACATACATGTAGTCCTCAACTTACAACAGTTCATTTAGTGACTGAAGTTACAGCGGCACTGAAAAAAGTTACTTATGACTGTTTTTCACACTTACAACCACTGCAGCATCCCTGTGTTCACATGATTAAAATTCAGAAGCTTGGAACTGACTCCTATTTATGACAGTTTCAGTGTCCTGGGTCATGTGATCATCTTTTGTGACCTTCTGGCAAGCAAAGTCAATGAAGAAACCAGATTCACTTAACAACTGTGTGACTAACTTAACAACTGCAGTTATTCACTTAACAACTGTGGGAAGAAAGGTCGTAAAATGGGGCAAAACTCACAAACATTTCAGTTAGCAACATAAATTTTGGGCTCAATTGTAGTTGTAAGTCAAGGACTTCCTGTATTAAACTGGCAATACTATGTGTAACACTCTCCTGACTTTCACCGGTCTCTACAAGGTTGTTGTGAGGCTAACATAGGGAGATGTAGGTTTACTGCTCTGGACTTGGGAATGAATAACAATATAATACTGTGTATATGAAAATAAAGTACACCTTGGCTTGTAAAGGTCTAGTTGGAATTGGTTAGGCACTGAACCATGCTGCAACAGTAATTGGTGAATGACTAGAAGTACTTTGGTGTATTAAAGGCGGGTCACCTGTTAATGAGATTAGCATTCTTTATTTCATAATTTATATGCCGCCCTTCTCCCCACGGGACTCAGGGCGGTTCACAGCATATTAAAATAACACAATACAAACAACACACACAACATTTCCCCTATAAAAGCCAATTAAAACCAAATATTTGTAGCTGTGACATTATTAAAATCATTAAAAATTATCCCTATTTAAAATTCACCCTAGGTCAGTCCCTGAATCTTTGATACTGCAGAAGTACCTAAGTTAACATAAAGGGCTATGGATGAGAGCCCAATCTTAGAAACTACTGGCATGAAATGATTGCTGTGCTAATCTGAAGCACATCAACCACAGAATTTCAAATGGCCATAAAAATAAAAAAAGGCTTCTTGTTGGCATGGCTCCCTTGGCTGTTTCAGGAGGCTCACAGTCACTAGCCTGCGGTCTGTTCCACCCATCTCTTTTATAAGCTTTCAAGAGTTCATCACAGTTAGAAAAGCCACTACAGTTTTGGCAACAGGTTCCCTTCTAAGTTGGCATTGGATGCTAAAACAACATTTTTTAGAATGTTGGATTGGCCCTTTGGTGCTGTATTCATCATTCAGAATAAACCTTCAAGCCAACGACATGTATGGGACACTACATACGCTTCCCAACATCCTTTGAAACTTGCTAGAAACTTATTAATAAATGTGCACACATTTATATATGAGGAGGACTGCATAGCAGTGGCTCAATGAAGGCCTTCTTTAGGTGGACTAATGAATGGAATATTGTTTAATCTGCCCTCCTCCTTTTCTACTGCCTCCTGCAAGGAGATGTTGGTCTTTACTGCCTTCTCTCTCTCCTCCCGTGGCTTTCAGGGTTGCATTGCTTGCTTAAAATTAATTGGCAATTGGACTCACAGCTCTGTCTAAAAGGGGGCATAAATCTTTTTCAAAATTCCTGCTGAATACTTGAAAAAGGCCCACTAGCATGCTATTTTCCTTCTCTTTCAGACATGTTATTACTTCCTTAAAGCTAGGATAGCTAAAAAATGGTGTTGGTTAAGAACTGAACTGGAGACAGATTGCCAATTTTTACAACCGAAGCTGGAGAACTAAAGTGTGTAAGGGCAGCTCTTTGAAGCAACAATCCCAAAAAGTGATGTATTTTTCTGAGAAAATGCCACCTTGTATAAAATGGTGTGTTTCAGATATTTGACCGCTATGGGAAAGAGGTTCTACAGTAGAGGTTCTTAGAGGTTCGTTTTCAGCCATCAAATAAGAAAAAGTGAGGAGCTGGTATTTCAGTGTCTGTTAAATGCCAACTGAATGGTTGGGGTGGGGCAGACTTTTGAAGCAAAAAGTACCTGAGAATATTCCTCCCACAGACAATTGTGTATCTTCTTGAAAGCACATAAATGTGGGATGTCCTCTGTTTTAAATAAGACTTCTTTGATGTAATTTGTTTCAGCATATTTATGTAACCATTTGACCACTTCACAGATTCATTTGACCTCCATTGGTTTAGAAGTGCTTCAAAAACCAAAGGGAGGTGAAGAAGAATACATTTCTCTATAGCAGAAATGGGTCTAACTACAATTTTCTTCAACTGCACAACAGAATAACAGAATAGCAATAGGACTTAGACTTATATACCACTCCACAGTGCTTTACAGCACTCTCTAAATGGTTTACAGAGTTAGCATATTGCCCCCAACAATCTGAGTCCTCATTTTACCAACCTTGGAAGGATGGAAGGCTGAGTCAACCTTGAGCTGGTCAGAATCATGGCATTCAGCAGAATTAGCCTGCAATACTGCATTCAAACCACTGCGCCATCATGGCTCTTATTGAAATAAGAGAGTTGGAAGGGACCTTGGAGATCTTCTAATGCAACCCCCCAACAAAAACTCTCTTTTTGATCATCCAATAAATAAAATCATACAAGCAAATAAAATAAAGAAGTAAAAAAAGCATTGTGACAACAGTTCTGATATTTTTAATCTCCTGCCTTGCAAATGCCTGAATGCACCCTTTTACCAACACTCACATTTACATTAAAACCATCACTGTGACATAAGCACTAGAATTTTTTTTTGCTGTTGCTGTGTTTTAGTAGATACTTGATAATAATAATAATAATAATAATAATAATAATAATAATAATAATAATAATAATAATAATAATAATAATAATAATTTAATTTGTACCCCGCCCTTCTCCTCATAGGACTCAGGGCAGCATGAGTTTCGCTGCCTGTGCTGATGCAATTATATTCAATATACACAGAATTGTATAATGTATATTAATAGCACATTCTCTTTAAGATGCCAAATAGGGAATACAGGTTAAAAAATCAGCAATCTTTTTCCCTACTAAAGCAATGCATTGCTATTAAGTAATTCCCACCCTTCTCGTGTTGAAACACGGAGCTGTATGCTTTAATATGTGTACAGAGCATGATTTAAAAATAAAATGTTCATATGATCCTATTTTAGAAAAACCACATTCCATCATTTTATAAAACCATGTGTTTGCCATAATTTTGCTCTAGTCAAACAATGGTGACCATACAGTTCCAGTTCTAACTTTGCGTGAAAAGGTGATACTTTGTCTTAGTGAATTCTTGATGGATGGAATTGAGCAAGGTGTCAGAATCCTGCACCATCTCTGGCAGGAGTGGTGGACCACACAGAAAACTCTGTTCTGGTGTGTATGTGAAGCTGAATGTACTGGAATAAATCAGACCATCATTCCTTAGTAGCAGAAGAGGGACAGTAATTGGGTATCGCAACCATCTCCAATCAGGGCTGAATGCAGAGACATCAGGAACAACACACACTAAGGACTTGGAATTCCTAAACAAACGAACAAAAATACAAACTTGTTTATGTGTTTGGGTGTGTGCATGCATACATATTTATATTCATATCCATAACATGTGCCTTTTTTCCTCCCTCCTCCCCTCCCAAGATAGGCTCAGTAGATTTTCAAGCAGTGGTTGTAATCAATACGTTTGTGCAAATAAAAATGTGGAGAGTTTGGATTTCAATGCTCTTTCAACGTGTACTTCCTTTTTATCTATGGAGCTTGAACAGGCAAAGCGGAATGACAGCTGGCTAAATCTATTCTCCCTGTTTGCAATTCTACACAGGCCAACTTTTCAGGACTATTTTGTAAATAGGACATCCAAACGCAGCACTAAACTGGGGCAATTTCAGTCAAATGGGACATCTATTTGCTTAGCTATGGAACATTTCCACAAGCCATGGTTCTATACTGTATATACTTGTTATGGAATAAGGAAATTCTTCTACTTATTTCCTATTATGGATTTACAATTGGTACCTGGTTGAGCAATGTGAAAAAAGGATGCTGCATTAAATAAGCCTTTGGTTTGGTTTGGTTAGCATAGAATGCAGTATTTTATTGTCTGATTTTGAACAGTATCTTTTCTCCTTATGTTCATGACTTTGTGCAGTGTGCTACACCAGTACAATAGATATAAGAACTCTAATGTTCAAACCCAAAATCTAATGATAACCCCACCCCAAATTAATGAAATTCTTATGAATGAGAGCCATCATTTTATCATTTATCTTAGTTACAAGATAGTCAACAAGAAATGGGCTAGAAAAAGCCCATTTGGGTTATACAGTAGAAGCATCCAAAGTATATTAAAATGTGATGGCATTCTGTGCTTACTAATTATTCTCTTAACATTCTCCACAGAGGATGTGGAATACAAAATTAAAATCAACTGCACTATGTTTTAGCGTTTAAAACAAATGTAAGAAAAAGTAGCAACAGAGAACACACCAGTCCATTAATTAACATTTCAGACAATTCAAACCATTCATAAGAATCTAGTTTGTGAGTAGCAAAAGATCCCATCATGGACTGGTTTGGGGAAAAAAATGACCATGGGGGAAGTTAAAAGAGGAAAGCAACAGTACAATCAAAGCTCCACCTGGACTTTTTTGTCTGCTGAATGTGCACTGTACTTAAAAAAAAATGGTTTGATCTCACCACCATGGCTGCCATCTTGACTTTTTTGACCATACATTGATGGTAGGTCTGTTAAACTCAAACAGCCACATTCCAGATTGTCCACATCAGTCACAAAGCTCTCCAACTAATCTTGGGCTAGTCTTTATCTCTCAGGCAGTGTTGTCATGTGGATGAAAATGAGATACGTTTATATACTTCATCTTGATTATCTTGCAAAATATACACTGTCTTGTGAGAACTAGTTCTGGCAAAGTTAGAAGCACATAGTCTGAACCTAGACTTATTCATTATAGTAACTTTCCATTAATCTTTCCTCCATCAGAAGTAAGAGATCTTGAGCTGGTTGTATTGTACAACCAAGAGAAAGAGGCATATTGTTGAAACTTTAATTTTACTAGAAATAAGGCTTGGGTTATCTACTTCTCAGTGAATGGAATTTTTCTTTGTGGCTTTTATTGTTTTTGCAATAAATTTACTTAAATCCCTACCTATGTGACTTACAGTTCTGGTATCAGCCACAAAATGCCTGACAGTATATACATGAAATAAAAATAGGAGATTTTTGGATTCTATTTCCATACTTTCAGAAAGGAAATGTGACCCTTCTTTTCAGATAAACCATATAATTACATTGCTGCTGCTGTGTGATTCAGTTATCTCTCTTTTCTTGTGTCAGGCACAGGGAGACTCAAGATTTTAGAAGCTGCTACCTTCTACTATAAGTAAAAATATTGAATTAATAAACACAACAACCAATATTGCACTCATTTCATTCATTCCTGATCTCCCTTGAAGAGATGCTTTTGGAGGCAAAGAATAGTGGCCATGAGACTTGTCCAACTGATCATGCTGTAGTTTCAGGACAGTCTGTGTCTGCTTTACCTGTACATAGTCTCTGCTTCCACATCTCCAAACCAAACTTTCATGTTTGCATGGAAATAGTTGCCTTGGACTTCCAGCATTGCCACATCCCCTCCACCTGTCAGCTGTGAAAAACAAACCCAAGCATAAGATCATCCATCTTATTGTGAAGGTACAATATAGCCTTCCAGCAGTTTGTCCTCATTTTGCACCTCTGTGGACTTTAAAGCAAAGATACCCATATTTTGACCTGGAAGGCTTTTTGGCTAGCCTCCCCAGGAACTCCATGGGAGAAGCTGTTGTTTCATTGTCAAGAACGTGCTTTGCCTAAAGGAGATCCATTTTTAATTCTTGGCATTTGCTGATGGGATTGGGTTATACAATACTACTCTAACGCAGGTCTGCACAACATGTGACCTGCGGACCACATAAAGCCTGCTGGCATTTAAAAAAAACAACACAATAATAAATTCACCACTGATGTTACCATCGCAAATGTTGCTCTGCCAAGTGCCTCCAGACCTCCCTGCCATCACCATCTTCAAGGCTGCTTTGCTTTGTTCTTGTTTTCAAGTGAAGGAATACTGGGAAATTATAATTCTATAAAAGAGTTAAGAAATCTAACAAAAAAGTTATCCCCCTCTCCCCATCAGAATTACATTTTCAAGGTAAAGCAGAATGATAATGGAGATACACTTTGGGAGTTTTAGAAGTGGAAGTGAGAAAGAAGAATATGCAATGGAAAACAAATCTTTTGGAGTGTGGTGCATAGAAGTCCATAACTTCTGTAATGCCAATGGGCTGAAACTTTTAAAGCTCTCCAGAGATTATGGAATTGGCTCATGAACACTATCTATTAAATCTAGGGCTGACTGTTGAATACCTGGAGAACAGTGGTTTCCCAGTTTTCTCATATACCCAAGCCATGCTGGGAAGGGTAAAATGTATTGATGCTTATAGAAATCACATAAATAAATAAATAATTTAAATGGGATCATGTTGATCCCATATTGATATGGTTCATGTAATGTAGTTTCCAAACTGCATTAAGAGAACAGAAAAAACCCTCAGGTTATGCTTACTTTTATGCCTCCCATCTGAATGCTTCCAAGATATGGAAGAACACAAAGCAGCAATGTAATCCTTCATTTTAGTCTCATCAATAAACATTTTTCTGCAACCACACTTCAGGTTCTGCTTTCTGTTCCCAAAGGAGCTCCGTACTAGTCTTATTGTTGCATTCTATATTAATTAACTCATACAAATTGCCAGTCTCTGTTCCAAAACATCCAAAACTGAATGTTCTATCTAAGCTGTTTGTAGAGATGGTTGTACAAGGAAAGAATAATTTTATTTAATAGTTAAATTTAATATACTATTAATTTAATATACTGAAGGGTTCTGGAACAAGGGGAAATTGTTTAGTCTAACTGTTGCTTTCTTACTTTTTAAATCAGCTTTTGCATCAGAGAAATTTCATGCAAGTTTGGGAAACATGTACATGGATGGGATATACTGAAGGAGGGAATAAGGGAGTGTACAGGAATGATTGATGTCTTTCTTATGATGTAATGGCTCTGTTGTCCGATTTATAAAGCAATGCTACCAATTTTCTAATGCGTGGCACTTCTGGACGTAACTCTGCCAGCGTTCCAGATTGTTGGCCACCCAGCTGCTTAATTTGATCAAATAAAGTGCTGCTTGATCAAGAAGTCTCCACTTGGGTTATCTGATTAGATTGATATGGTATCTCAAGTTTATTTATTTATTTATTTTATTTATATTTGAATTTATATCCCGCCCTTCTCCCGTAGGACTCAGGGCGGCTGACAATCTATTTAAAATACATACAAGACAATACAAATTTAAAATTAATTAAAAAGAATATTAAATATTTGTCGAATTAAAATATAATTAAAATTAAAACCCCCCTAAAAATTACCCTAGGCCAGTCCTGCAAGCTGGAATAACCAAGTCTTGAGGGCGCGGCGAAAGGAAGGGAGATCAGGGATAACCCTGATCTCTGGGGGCAGTTCATTCCAGAGGGTGGGAGCTCCCACAGAGAAGGCCCTCCCCCTGGGGGTCGCCAGCCGACATTGCTTGGCCGACGGCACCCTGAGGAGACCCACTCTATGGGAGCGTACCGGTCGATGGGAGGTACTCTGCGGCAGGAGGCGGTCTCGAAGATATCCGGGTCCGATGCCATGGAGCGCTTTAAAGATGATAGTCAACACCTTAAAGCGCACCCGGAAGGCCACAGGCAGCCAATGCAGCTCGCGCAGCAGCGGTGTC